GAAATCCTTTCAATTTCTTTTGTCGCCTAGTAAGACCAGAGGATGAGTCCCTCAATACGTATGTCATAGACGAAAAGAAAAGAATACATACACATCTTAGTGCTTATTATACTTTAGATAATCTATGGGATTTATGTGAAGAGTTATTAAAAGGCAAACTGTTTCCCTCACTGCCCATACCGAAAAATAACGAAACAAATTTAGTTAAAATATGTGTACATGACAACTATGAGGAATTAATATTGAAGTCGAGCAAAAATATATTTCTAATTATACATTTGGATCAGTATGAATATGGTGTATATGAACCTAATTATAGAAATGTGGCTTTAGCATTAAAAGATTACAATTTGGATGTGGTGTATATGGAGGCCGAAAATAATTATATACCCTTTGAATATCAGGTCAGCAACTATCCCACCATATTCTTTATACCTTGTAACGATAAAAAGAATTTCATATACTATGAAGGCCCTAGGAAAGAGGAAGACATGATAGAGTTTTTACAACAAATCATTACGGATGCGAGGTTTTTGCAACAGCAGCAAAAGGAGTTGAAATCTAGCTTGTTAAGGAAAATCGTAGAAGTACCCTATGATTTTCAAATAGATTTTAAGGATTTAACAGAATTCTTGCAAGAAAATTTTGATAATTCTTTCAAACTTCTGGATCGGGAAATGTTATTTAATACTAAAAGTCACTATTATTATATCATAATATTTATGGATTTCGCAGACAAGAAATGTCGGGCTCATCATATACACTGGCTTAATGAAATCTATCAAATAACTGAAAGATCTTATTTCTATAGTTTCTTTATTGCCGATTTTAAGGATATAGATATTATCAACACCAAATGGAAACCACAAGATTTAATCAAATCCGCCCAAGGAAAACCGAAAATCTATGCTTTTGATTTTCTTAAACATACTTATGAATTTGGCAATTTTGATTCGGCATCAAAATTATTCTATTTTACTTGTAGTCTGGAAAATCGTCACTTTTACTACACTCAACTATATGACCGAAGTAATTTAGAGCAAACAGTTAAAGAATGGACTGCAGATTATTTTAATATTTTCCTTAAGAAAACCAAAAAACATACTTTTATCACATTTTATCTATCAGATGATGAGAATGCTGGAAAACTTTTGAGCTTATTGGATTTGATTGCAGATGATGTTAAGGATTTGAATGTTGAAGTGGTAAAATTCGATGCTACGCTTAACTATGTGGATTTGGAATATGTTCAAGAGAAATATCCGGTACATTATTTTATACCCAAACATAATAAAAGAGATGGTCGAATTTATCGAGATATTGATTTCAGTAGAGATAAAATGTTGGAGATTATTAAGAATAATGTGAAAAAGAATTAAAAAATTTTGAAAAATCACTCTCAAGAACCAATTTTACAATTAAATAGTTTTTTTTAATAAAATGCATGTTATTAACCAAAGAAAATATATTTATTAACTAACGAAAATTTTTAATGTAGAAAACAGTTAAGGTCTTTTTAAAGAACAAATTTTGTAATTAAATAACTTTTTAAAAAAATATTTTATATTGAGATTGTTTCAAAGTATATCTGTATGTAATCAACAAAATAATATTTTAAATAAAGAAAATGTTTAATGTTTAAAAAAAATCGTCACACAATTGTTTTTGTTTTTTTTTTTGCAAACTTGTACAACCACTTGTTTGAATCAGGCATGGAAAATATAGCACTATTGTACATTTTCGACATTGAAAAAATTTTCAAAGCACTCCCACGAAGTTATTGGTACTTTTAGGTAGTTAATCGATTACTCAAACGAGTAGTCCCGCCTAATCAATAGACTAATCCAAAAAATTTTCCAATAAACTTGTCAATAAACTACTTCATAGACTGGTTCATGGACTAATCAATAATCCATAATAATTCCATAGACTATACAATAGACTAGTCCATCGACTAGTCAATAGATCAGTCCATAGACTGAGAGAAATAGACTACTCCATAGACTAGTCCACATACTAGACAAGAAATAAGTCCATAGTCTAGTGCAAAGACTAGTCTATAGATTAGTGAATATACTAGTCCACAGACTAGTCAATAGACTAGAGCATAGTCTAGTCAATAGTCTAATCGATAGAGATTACTACTAAATCAAGTCTACTATATTAACTAGACAATTGACTAGTTTATTAACTAGTCTATAGTACAATCTATGGATTAGTCTAGACATAGACTATAGACAAGTTTATTGACTAGACTTTAGACTAGTCTATTGACTAGACTATAAAATAATCTATTGACCAGACTATAGTCTAATTTATAAACTAGACTCTAGACTAACCTATTGACAAAACTATAGAGTAGTATATTGACTAGACTATAGACTAACCTATTGACTAGACTATAGACTAACCTATTGACTAGACTATAGACTAGTCTATAGTCTAGTAAATAGACTAGTCTATATTCTAGAGAATAGACTAGTCTATAGTATAGTAAATT